CCTGTTGAAGAATAAAGGGAGGAAATACCTATGGAAATGAGAATGGCCACACAGGGATCCTGGCTAAGGAGCCTCGTTTATAAAGATACATACAAGAGTCAGAGTGGTGGGTCCTGTACAAAGAGCTTCCAGAACTCTAAAACACAGAAGCGTCTGGGATTAACAAAATTGTAAGAATAACCTCCACAGCTCTGCCCCTACTATGACTGCCAACTAAATTTTAACATTCATGTTCAGAAAAAGTAAAAAATAGGCACTCTATTTGATGGCTTTGCTTTCCTCTTCTTAGCCCTAAAGAGTGACTGCAGGGGTCACTATGAAGGTTAGGAGCCTAGACCCTGGAGCCAGAAAACCTGATTTCAAATTCTGATTCTGCGATCAATCAGCTGGCTTTCCTGGGATAATTATATAACCTTCCTTATAGGGTTGTTATAAGATTTCATATGATAATCCATGTAAAGTATATAGCAGAGTGTCTGCTACGTGGTGAGCTTTCAATAATGGTAGCTGTTGTTTTTGTTACTATTACTGTTAAACTGGAAAGAGTAGCATGACCGTGGATCAGAGGGATGCAGTTGTCTAAGGACACTTGGCTGATCATATTCAAGCAGATGGTGAGAATAGTTAATCATGATGATAATAATAAGTAATACGAACTACACAGCAGAGCCTAACTGACAATGCAGCTAATAACAAAGAAGTGGAGCTGAGAGATGGAGAGACCATGAGACTAGGCCCTGATGGCATTACTTAATCCAACCATGATGGAGACTGATTCCCTTCGGATTTTTTTTTTTTAATGTGAGCTAACACATTTTCATTCCCCACCCCACTTTGGCCTAAACCACTCTGAGTTGGGTTTCTGCCACTTGATTAAAACAGATGGTCTATCAGCCCTTGGAAAGACCATCTGTCTATGAAACAGACATCACTGAGAGCCAGCATAGGTTAACAGAAAAAAGACAAACAGGTCATGCCAGACTATCCTCATTCCCTTAATGAAAGCTGACTAGATCAGTAGATCAAAGAAATACCACAGGCTAGTGTAACTGGACTAGGAAGGTACTGCTGGTCTCTCGTGACATCCTTAGGAATAAGGAATAAGATGAGGTAATGGAATAAGATGTGGCGATGGGGAAGCAATAGGACAATAATATGGACTAAAAACTGATAAAATACCAAATTCAAAGAGCGTTGGTCAGTGTCAACCTCTGGGATCTGCCCTGTTTCATTAAGGATAGCCATTAGTTCTTTCGGTGCTTCCCATCTCTAAGACCACCTGAGCCTAAACCTCCACCATTTTTCTCCTGAATCAGCACAACAGCCTCCTGACTGGATGCATACACAGCACCAGAGTGGAGTGGTCATTCAAAAACATAAAATTGACTGCTTTACTCCTCTGTCGAAACCCAGACAAGTCTTCCCTGAAAGTCATCCCCCTTCCAAAGAACCAGTCCTTTCCCCCAATAATTATGTTTCCTATTCAATTTGTTTTACTGGTTCATTCAATAGAGCAGAAGCTCCACAAGGGCAAAGACCATGTTTCTTATATTCATCAACGCATCACCTAGTGTCTACTCTAGATCTAGCACATAGTAGGTGCTCAATTAATTGAATTAATGAATGAATGGCACAGATGAACACTGGCAGAATAGTGATCAAATTGCCAATGACACTGTTACAAGTGGAGTTAGACACACAACTCTTGGAAGCCACAACAAAGTTTGAGGTCAGCTAAGAGACAGAAACTCCCCTTGAATTTTATATAATTGTAATTATGTAGTATGTACACTTTTTTGTCTGGCTTCTTCCTTTCAACAAAATTATTTTGTCATTCATCCATGTTGTAGCACGTATCAATAGTTCGTTACTTTTTATTGCTGTGTAGTATTATATTATATAAATATACCACAGTTTATGCACTGGATAAAAAATTGGTTGCTTCCTGTTTCTCAATTACAATAAAGCTGGACCTAGGAATGCAATGCTTATTTTTCACTTCTTTTTTTTTTTTTAGGAATGCAATGTTTAGATCACAGATAGGTATATACTTTTAAAAGAAAATGTCATACTTTTAAAAAGTGGTTGTACCATTTTACTTTCCCACCAACGGTGTATGAGTTCCGGCAACCTGGTCAACACTTGATGTAGCCAGTCTTTGTATGAAGTTTTATCTGCTTGTGGTTTTAATGTGCATTTCCCCAATGATTAATGATCTTGAACATCTTTTCAAGTGCTTATTTGCCACCAATATATTCTCTTTGGACATCATGGGTTTTTTGTTTGTTTGCTTAAATTACAAAAGAGGACTTCCTTCGCAGTCCAGTGGTTAAGACTCTGCCCTTCCACTGCAAGGGGTGTGGGTTCAATCCCCGGTTGGGGAAATAAGATTCTACATGTCATGTGGCACAGCCAAAAAAAAAAAAATTACAAAAGAGGCTCTCACTTATTACATAACTAGACAAACAATACAGAAATGTATAAATAATTAATAGTCTCCTACCCCCCAACACACACATAGGCAACCAGAGGTGCACAAGAACCACCAGGAGCACTTATTAGGCATGCAAATTCTTGCCCCCACTCTTGGAAGATTCTGATTCAGTAGGTCACAGATGGTGCATTTTGACAAGCCCCTAGGTAATTCTGACACAAGCGATCTGTAGATTTCTTAAGAAAGTCTGCTCTTACTATTGTCCTCCTAAGGAATAGTTGAAGGAATGAAGACAGTGAGTCTGGAGAGGCAAACGCACGGAAGGGGTACACGGACTGCCTTCAAATAAGTAAGAGCCTTTGTCTAAGAGAACGACTGTGTGTGCTCTATGTTGTCCCATGGAACACCAAGAGTTTGGAACCTAAAGATCAAATCAAAAAATCTTTCTGGGCTTCCCTGGTGGCGCAGTGGTTGGGGGTCCGCCTGCCGATGCAGGGGACGCGGGTTTGTGCCCAGTCCGGGAAGATCCCACATGCCGCGGAGCGGCTGAGCCCGTGAACCATGGCCGCTGAGCCTGCGCGTCAGGAGCCTGTGCTCCGCAACGGGAGAGGCCACAACGGTGAGAGGCCCGCGTACT